CCCCATCCCCAGCCCCCCACCGGTCTTATTGTTGGTGGTCTACAAAAGCTTGCTTTCCTCTGAGTCCAGTTTGAGCACAAAGGATCAGGATTTACAAGCTACTTAATGGAGATTGAAAATGTGTGTTTTGTTTGTTTGTTTTAAGAAAGAAAATAGCCTTTTTCTGGGAACCGTTTCCTCTAGTATTTATACCTCTCAGTACATTTTTTTCAAAAAATTTTAACTTTTTTCCTTAATATTAAGTGTATTTTCTCGGGGAAGGGTAAGTGGAAAGGACCCTTGAAGACTGACAGTTTTGTGTGGTTTTTTTAATGGAGATGGCCAAATAAACATCATATTTCCTTTATGATTTATTATAGACTCAAGTGTTCTATGCTGTAGCTTCCTTTTGTGGTGGCAGAACTGTAAGATCCTCATGGATAGGATTGTCTCATAATTTTTTCCCTTGATCATCACGTGCCCAATTCAGTGTTGTATACATTCTAGGTGGTAATAAATGAAGATACTTATTTCAGAACAACTTTGTCCTAGTTCACACTAACAGAAATTCATGCTGGTAGGAAAAGAAAATGTCAGATGATTGACAAACCTCACTGATCTGTTCACCTTATAAATGTTTGAATGCTGACTGCTAAAATTTGTAGATAAAACTATATAAAGATTCATTATTCAACATACATATCATATGCCAGTCACTACCCTAGGCACCATCAAGTGACTAGCTGGGCTGGGCAAGGGTCAGGGGGGTGGGATTGTGTGAGAGGGTTTCTAAATCATGACAACTTTTTGGAGGAAGCCTTGGAAGCCTAGGATGCCTATGTGGAGGGAAAGCCTTCCAGTCAAAGGTGTGATGCTCATACAGCTCACATTGGGTAAAAGAATAGTGATGAGTATTTGTGGGGCTTCTCTTAATGATTATTTAGTTTCATAGGACAGAAACACACACACAGGAAATCCAGTTTATAAAAAGGTATTTACTGACAGGCAATCTCAGGGAATCCAATTGCAGGAAGTGTAGCTTGGCTACAGCCATCGTGTGTCTCTCTGAGGACCTCTGCTTCTCCCTAAACATGCATTCCATTCTCTTCCCCTCTGGAAACTATTCTCTGCTGTCTCTTACTTTTTGCTTCCTTTGCGACTCTGGTCTGCCCAGGACATTGGTTGCCATGGTTTTGGGTTCTGTGCCCTACCTTATGCCACTTCATATCTCAGGAACCCAAGGTTGCTTGACTGTAGTTTTCATATTTTCCTTCTTTTAGGGCAAGAATGAGTAAATATATCTTATTGTCTCTACTTGGTCTGGTCACCTTTTGCCAGGTTCCAAAGCCTTCTTCACCAGTGTTGGCTGTTTTGAGCAGCCCACTTCATCTGGAGCTCCTCTGGAGAAGGTTGTAGGTTGACCAAACATGCCAAAGTCATCCATACATCTGAGCAAGAAATAATGGGATAACAAATCTAGAAATTTGTTTGGAACTCAAGCTTACTTGCCCTGTAAGATATTTAAACATTTCTCCCGTGTTCAAAAAGCTATCCTGCTTGCCTGCCTATGATGGAAAATACAGTGGTCCAAAGCTGGCTTTGAGGAGTTCACGTGTTCTCAATAAATAAGATAAACTGGAAGTTAGAGGTTTTGAAGGCAAAAAAATTCCCTTGATGACAGTGGGATTCATGTAGTAGTAAAAGGTGAACTACTGAGATAGGGGAAGTATAACATAGGTGAAGTCAACTGGACTTGAAAACTGGGTGTGGAAGATGAGAGAGAGAGAGATGGGACAGTGGGGAGGAAGGAATTGAAGATGATGCTATGATTTTGAGCCTGTGTTTTCCAGCATGTATTAGTACAAATAATGGAAAGATCCATCGGAAGTGAGCAGTTTTGTGGAGCAGTTATGTGTTCCTTTTGAACATTGTTTGTGGAACTGTGGGGACTTTTGGGTGGTGGTACAAGTTGAAGTGTTGTGTGGTTGTTTCATAGCAGGGAGATTTCATGAAGTGTTTTTGCTGTTTGCTGAAAAATCCTGTGCTTATTGAAAAATGTTCTTACTGGTCTGGGGCCAGTGACAAGAAGTCACACATTTGGTGGGGATCCTCTTTCAACTGGCTATAGAACAAAGATGTTACCAATGCCTTACATGGTGGGAGTGGTTTTCTTTTTTCATATTTTTAAAAGTAAAAAAGTTCCATTTTGACTAGAAATATATATGGTTTCAAACATCAAAAAGTACAAAATGCTATCCTTGAGAAAATCTCCTACCGAGACAAAGTGGCATTGATTCACTTTTTCATGCTCCCCCTTGTAAATATAGCTAAATACTCTGGGAAGAATGTACCAGATAATCAGAAAAGGAATCTGAAAGGTAGAAGGGAGAGGGCAGGCTGGGTAGGGCTCACAGTTGGAGGAAGGAGAGCCTCCCGTGTGTCCTGGTCTGGGTACTGGAGAGTATCTTCAACCTGGGATCATCAACAGGCATATATTTAAAAAAGAAGGAGAAAATAAAGGGGAAAAGACGAAAAGAAAGAATGAAAGACCTGCTCTCTTTTGCCAAAAGACCCAGAAAGGGGAAGCCCTATTTCCCTACCCATTTCCAGGAGGAGGGGTGGGCTCAGCCCTCTTGCAGGTACAGTGTCAGCAGAGGTCATCAGGGCCTCCCTTCACAACTGGCAGCACTGCAGGCCTAATCCACCCATACATGCGGGGAAACCCCTCCCCTGTCCCTGCCAGGAAACAGCACCCCTAGACCTAACTGGTTTATCAAGGTCACAGGTCATAGGTTACACTACCAACATGTAGGAATATACTGCATTTCTGTATAGTAACAAAGAAACTGTTTTATTCAAAATCCTGTAATAAAATTCCTAAATAGCAAAGAGCCAGAAACAACCAAAATGTCCTATAGTAGACAAAGAGCTAAACTGTGTTACAGCCATACCATGGACTTATCATGTACAACATGGACGCAGCTCAGAAGCCCTGTGCAGAGTGAAAGAGGCCAGGTATGAAAAGTAGTGCGCTGTATGATTCCACTTATGTAATATTCTTAAAATAATATTTTAGAGATAGGCAGCAGATGAGTAGCTTCCAGAGATTAAGGGATTGGAAAGGGAAAGCTGGGTGGGGTGGCTATTAAAAAAATAAAAAGGGTAACATGAGGGAGCTCTGTGGTGGTGGAACAATTAATCCGTTTTGATTCTTAGTAGTGGTTACGTAAAGCTGCACATGTGATAAAGTTGCACAGAACTGTTTACATGCACACACACACAAACAAATGAATGCATGTAGAACTGGACAGATCTGAGCAGCTCTGTAGATTGCACCAGTATCAGTTTCCCAGTTTTGATAGTGTACTGTAGTTACACAGGATGTCTTTGGGGGAAACCAGGTGAATGGTGCATAGAACCTCCCTGTACATTTCTTTGTAACTTCCTGTGAATCTGTACTTCAGAGTAAAAAGTTTTAATATAAATATATAGCCTCTCTAGTTTTGTGCCCCAACCCCCGCCCCATCCCAGAATTAAATCACCATTGTTTTGTTTCATCATGATCCTTCCAAAGACTTTTAAAATGCATGAAAAAAAAATGCATGTACAAGTATATTTGCAATAGAAGTGTATTGTCTCATGTTATACCTACAATTATTATGTGCTTTGCTTTTCTTTTTGCTTAGAAGAGATTGTTCCCTATCAATCAGATTCAGATTCTGAATCAGTTTCAGATTCAGAGGTTACATTGATATTTCTGCCATATACTTTGACCAGTTTTCAGTTAACAGAATTCTAGGTGGTTTTATTACTTTGCCTTTAGAAATAATGATCTGGGGAAAGAGCTTGCAAATTTGCTATTTGGCAGGTATGTGAATATATCTCTTAAGATAAATGTCTAGAAATTGTACTTCTGAATTAGAATTTTATCTACACTTGGAATTTTCAGAGGCACTGCTAGATTGCCCTGCATATGAGTTGTACGCTTCACACACTTGCCAGCGATGTATGTCCTCGTATTCTCTCTAGCAGCTACATTCAAATTTTAGGACTTTTAACAAATGTTAGGTTAGAAATGACATCTCATTTCTCTTAAAGATTGGATAACTTTTCATATTTTCAAAAGTGATTTGTATTTTTTTTTCTGTAAATTGTGTTCATATTCTTTTGGCCATTTTTTAGTAGGTTGTTGGCCTTTATAGCAGTTACTGATCTGTAGGAGTAAACATAATAAGCTCTGTATATTTGATGCGAGGTTTAATACTTTTTTCCTGATTATCATTTGCCTTTTGACTCTTCTTGTTTTTTGGGATATGTTGAGCCTTTGTGGCATCTAGAGTTTGTGTTAGTTAGAACGGTCTCCCCACACCCAAGTTAGAATTTTCATGGTATTTCAATGCTTTCTGGTGTAGCCTATTGAAATCTGGAGTCACCTCCCCACAGTGGTGCTGCTGGGCATAGCCTTAGGCCATAGACTTTATTTCTGGCCCTGGATCTGATTGCATGGGTCTCCTCAGCCTTGTTGGAAATCTGGGTCACCGCTATAACCAGATCAGGTTCATCTCACATCCTCCATAAAGTGGTGCTTTGCAGGGAAAGGAAGTAAGGGGAGAACATTGGATGATCATCTGGCTCTTATCCCATCTCTCAGCACCCTTTATTCCAAGAGATAAACTCCAGTAGAAATGGTTTTTGTCCCCTGTTGCTCTGGGAGTTAGTGGTAGGGTGACAGAACGCCTTTGCCAGTCTCCAGGGAAGGGAAACCAAACTTCAAGGGCCATTTCCTTCCATTGATCATTTGTGCAAATCCTAGTTAGGTTGCTTCTCCACGGGACAGGCTGGAATCTAAAACTGTCCTTCGTCACAATGAGGGAAACTGGGGAGTCTTGTCCATTTTTAGCAGCACAGCTCTGTGGATTTTCTCAGGATGAAGTGCTAGTTAGTGGTGTGTCACTGCAAAGACTTGCGTCTTCTCAATGGGTGTGAAAAACATTTGTTTAGCATCACTTTCCCCCCTTTAGGAATAGCCAAACCAGAAGAAGGACAACCTGCTGGAAGCGTGTCTGGAAATGACATCACCGCCCCTCCAAACAAGGAGCTTCCACCAAGCCCAGAGAAGAAAACAAAGGTAAGTGCGAGAATGGTGGGTTGTCTTCTTCTGCTGTGATTTTTTTAAAACTACCTTCTGCTATTATTGTTTGGATTATGCAAGTGAAATTTCTTTTTTCTGAGCTAATAATGTGTCCTCCTTCTTCAAGTTCGAACATGCTTAGAAAATATTTTATATTCCTATTTTATCATAGTGGCCTAACTTAAACCTTCAAATCTCTGCTTTTGACCCTATTATCTTGAATATTCTATAGATATTTCTGCTTCCTTTAACAACACCGATAAAGGGAATTACAGAATTATTCAGAATTCCATTCTGAAGTCTCTCTTCATGAAAAAGGAGCACAGATTTTTAAGATGGAATATAGCTCCAGACACTTATTCTAAAGTACAAATGCTCATTTTAGTGTGGTTGGTATTACATCACAGAGTTACAGATAGTAAATAGCTTAATCACCTGCTGGTTAATTTCTTCACAGAATTATTGCAGCCTTCAAAAGTTAGTTAATTGTTTAAAGTTATTACTGAATTTAAGTCTTGAGATGTTCAACTACTGGAATTTGTGACATTGTCATTAAGAAACAATTTCCAGTTTTCTTTATGCTCATCCTGGTATTTTTCCACTATTTACTGAGCTCAGAAGAAAGGAATGCTAATTTTCAGTTGCATCTTTCCTCATTGCTTATAGTGTTACTTTGAATTGTGCAATTTATACTTTTTTAAAATTTGTTTTTATTCTTGTCTGTGTGTTTGATGTTGCCCTTTAAAAAAAACAAAAACAAATCAACTTAAAGCCTTTGGCCACCACTCAACCTGCAAAGACTTCAACATCGAAAGCCAAAACACAGCCCACTTCTCTCCCTAAGCAGACAGCTCCCACCACCTTTGGTGGGTCGAATAAAAAACCCATGAGCCTTGCTTCAGGCTCAGTACCAGCTGCCCCACCCAAACGCCCTGCTGCTGCCACTGCCAGGCCTTCCACCTTACCTTCAAAAGACACGAAGCCCAAGGTAAGTAGCCACCTGAGCACTGTGCCAGGGAAACGTTCTCCCCTCCAACCATCAGATGGTTAGACACTGTTGCTTCCAGACTTGGAAATAGGCTGGGGGGCTAGGGAGAGGAAAGGGAAATGGGGAAAGGTCAACTCAGATCACTTTGGGCACCCATGATGCAGCCATGACATTTGAAGGCCTTTTCTACATTTTTTTTTTTTTAACCTTTTTTGGCCACTGCACATCCTATGGGATCTTAGTTCCCTGACCAGAGGTCAAACCTGCTTGTCTTGCACTGGAAGTGCAGGGTCTTAACCATTGGACCACCAGGGAAGTCCCCACTGTCTTTTTCATTTTGTGCCTCTCTCTGCCCTGGTTGGAGGCAATATTGCCTCTGCTTCCACTCCTCCTTTCTCCCAGCTCCTCCTTACTCTTCATCTATTTCAACACTTGTTAACCAGTTTCCCCTACTCCTCATGCCAGTCACATACTCATTTTTGGTATAATTCTGACACCAGATTCTCAATCAGATTCAGTTCTTTGTCTTTCTTCTTAATCATCCTGCAGAAGTGAATTTCCTCCATTAGCTGATGATGATTAGCTCTTCCAGCTTATCTCAGCAGATTCCAGCATCATGTGATAACTTACTTGCGTCTGGCATTAGGCTGCTTCTCCCTGGGCTCTTTCTGAAGTTTTTCAGTTTTCCAGGTCACCCACACATTACTGCTTAGAAACTGGGCAGTTCAGAACAGCATTAGCTTCACAGGATTGGTATGGGAAGAGAGGGTGGGTGGAATCTGTGTCTGCCTTTTCTTAACATCTTGTTTTCTTTGAGAATGGCCTTTAGGTCAGCCTGCTGTTACTCTTCAAATTCATGTTGGGGAGGAGCTTACCATATTAAAATGTTAGTATTTTAATTTAATCTAGTACATAAAACTGGTAGAACCTAAGAATCGTAGGCTAGGTTGAAACCGCAGCCAAGAAACTGAGAAATCCTAGTATAGACTAGGAATGAGAAAATCTCAGAACACTTTCTGATCCTTATTTATCAAGTTGAATGCTTTTCCTGATGTTTAGAAAACAATTCATTTGAATAAGGGGGCAGAGGGAGGGAAATAACCTTCTTGGGGACCAGAGCTAGTAAGCAGCGGAACCTGTGTTTGAACTTAGGTCTAACTCCAGTGCTTCTGCTCAGGGCCTCTATCAACAGTCCTGTTTATCTTTTAGATAAGATATAGATATTTAGATATTTTGATAGATGGATAGAAACTAAAGCTGAATGAAATTTAGTTGTTTCCTTATTTTGGTAGGAAGATTTACAGAAACAAAGGGGATAAAACTATTCAGATCTGTCAGTCTGACAGAGGAGAAAATAAAAATTGAAAAATCAGGGGTAACTCCAACTATGAGAGCAGGCCAGTTCTGCAGCTCGTTGAGGCTAGAAGCAACCTGAAGAATGTCATGTCTTTTCTAGACAGAGCTGGTAGTTAGACCATTTCCCTGATTCCAGCCTTAGGTTCTTTACATGATGCTTGGGACCTTCATTTGTAGCAATGGTCATTAGGGTTAGATTTTCTCTAAATCAATGCCAACCTTTAATTTCTAAGAACGTCCTTAGCTGATTTTTCATTTAAGCAATGTCCTTGTCTCTGCCCACATCCTGCCCTCTGTATGGCCATTTCTTTTGGAGCATAAGAGATAGACCCACTGTGTCTTTGGCTTGGCTTACTCTCTTGAGTAACACGGTGGGTCTGTTCCTCTTCTGTTCCTGCAGACACCAGACTGTGCTGATTCCTTCCCTTTTTTGGTAGTGATAGTGTGCCCAGCCTCCGTGGAAGAGGACTGGAGTGACCCACACGCCCGTGTCTCCGCCTGAGGGGCTTTTCCCTTTCGCCATCAGTCAGAGCTCTGGCATCAGCCTCCTCTTGCCCTCTGCTTGTCAGGCCCACATCCACCTGCCCCTTCCCATTTGTCCCTATGCTCTTACAGAATTCTCATTCTCCAGTCCCTAATGGAGCTGATCCTTAGTGATCCTCTGTTCTGCCCTTCTTTGTCCAGAAGAGGGGATCAAGCCCAGAAAGGCTCAGTGATTTGCCCAAGAGCACACGTGAGTCAAGGGGCTGCCTGAGGCTGAAGCTTAGGCTTCTGACCCGATTGGTTTGGCTAATGCCGTCTCCATCTGCTGCCCCATCCTGTTCAGAATTCACTGGGTGCATCTTAGCCCACAGAACAGCTGGATTGGACTAAACATTTGTAATTTTTTATAATTTCATTTACTCTCTGGTCAAGTATTACTACATTAAATGTATCAGTATTTAATGCAGTGGATCCTGAGGCAGACATAGTTTGTAGTGTGGTGTATTTCTAGGGCTGCTTATCCTCTCTGGTTCAGGTTGGACTGAGGTGGTTTGACTCCCTGTTTCCTGATCCCGATCACAAGGCGCCCTACATGGCCATTTCCCATGTTGTCTGGAGGACTTTGATACTAGAGCCACATATTTCCTATTAGTAGCTGCCAAGCCCACTGTTCTCTTATATGGAACCATCCTTTGGCATGACTTCCTGGGGTTGTTGCTGACCTACCGCTTATTCCCACTTTTGACAGCCTGTTGCAGAGGCAAAGATTCCTGAGAAGCGGGTCTCTCCATCCAAGCCGGTCTCTGCCCCAGCTGTCAAACCTGGCTCCAAGAGCACCCAGGCTGTTCCCAAAGCCCCAGCAGTTGCGACTCTTGCTTCACCTGGGTCAAGCAGTAGGAACCTCTCCACACCCTTGCCCAAGAGGCCCACTGGTGAGTACTGAATGTCCCTCCCATGGGAACCAGTGGCTTTACCCCAGACAGTTGTGTAGATAGAAGAAGGACTTGTGACCCAGTCCTTCATGGGCCCATTGAAAAGTGGCGCCTCAAAATGGGCCAAAGAACTAAACAGACATTTCTCCAAGGAAGACATACAAATGGCTAAAAAACACATGAAAAGATGCTCAACATCACTCATTATCAGAGAAATGCAAATCAAAACCACAATGAGGTACCATTACACGCCAGTCAGGATGGCTGCTATCCAAAAGTCTACAAGCAATAAATGCTGGAGAGGGTGTGGAGAAAAGGGAACCCTCTTACACTGTTGGTGGGAATGCAAACTAGTACAGCCGCTATGGAAAACAGTGTGGAGATTTCTTAAAAAACTGGAAATAGAACTGCCATATGACCCAGCAATCCCACTTCTGGGCATACACACCGAGGAAACCAGATCTGAAAGAGACACATGCACCCCAATGTTCATCACAGCACTGTTTATAATAGCCAGGACATGGAAGCAACCTAGATGCCCATCAGCAGACGAATGGATAAGGAAGCTGTGGTACATATACACCATGGAATATTACTCAGCCATTAAAAAGAATTCATTTGAATCAGTTCTAATGAGATGGATGAAACTGGAGCCCATTATACAGAGTGAAGTAAGCCAGAAAGATAAAGACCATTACAGTATACTAACACATACATATGGAATTTGGAAAGATGGTAACGATAACCCTATATGCAAAACAGAAAAAGAGACACAGATGTATAGAACAGACTTTTGGACTCTGTGGGAGAAGGCGAGGGTGGGATGTTTCAAGAGAACAGCATCGAAACATGTATATTATCTATAGTGAAACAGATCACCAGCCCAGGTTGGATGCATGAGACAAGTGCTCGGACCTGGTGCACTGGGAAGACCCAGAGGGATCGGGTAGAGAGGGAGGTGGGAGGGGGGGACCGGGATGGGGAATACATGTAAATCCATGGCTAATTCATTTCAATGTATGACAAAAACCACTACAATACTGTAAAGTAATTAGCCTCCAACTAATAAAAATAAATGAAAAAAAAAAAAAGTGGAGCCTCAATCTCCATGTGAGGTTAGCAGCTATGTGTATCCAGAAGAATCCTGAGTGAAGGGAACTCTCATGAATTCCCAGGTACAATTTACTGTTCCTTTCTCAATAATTCCACGGTACCCAGCACTTTGTGTTCATGGCCTTTCATAATAAGAAATAGGCTGTTTAAAGAAAGGCCATGTGGAAGCATTGTCAAGACCATAGAAATGACTTAAGTGCCCTCTTTCCCGGCTGGAACCATGGAGGGTGCAGAAGAGAAGAAAAAGAAGGTTCCTGCTGTGCCAGAAACCCTTAAGAAAAAGCGAAAGAATTTCGCAGAGCTTAAGATCAAGCGCCTGAGAAAGAAGTTTGCCCAAAAGAGGCTTCAAAAGGCAAGGAGGAAGCTTATTTATGAAAAAGCTAAGCATTACCACAAGGAATACAGGCAGATGTACAGAACTGAAATTCGAATGGCTAGGATGGCACGAAAAGCTGGCAACTTCTATGTACCCGCGGAACCCAAGTTGGCATTTGTCATCAGGATCAGAGGTGTCAACGGTGTGAGCCCGAAGGTTCGAAAGGTGCTGCAGCTCCTTCGCCTCCGGCAGATCTTCAGTGGCACCTTTGTGAAGCTCAACAAGGCATCAGTTAACATGCTGAGAACTGTGGAGCCATACATTGCACAGGGGTACCCAAATCTGAAGACTGTAAATGAATTGATCTACAAGCGTGGTTATGGCAAAATCAACAAAAAGCGAATTGCCCTGACAGACAACGCATTGATTGCTCGATCTCTTGGGAAATACGGAATCATCTGCATGGAGGATCTGATTCATGAGATCTATACTGTTGGAAAACGTTTCAAAGAAGCAAACAACTTCCTGTGGCCCTTTAAATTGTCTTCTCCACGAGGTGGAATGAAGAAAAAGACCACCCATTTTGTAGAAGGTGGAGATGCTGGCAACAGGGAAGACCAGATCAACAGGCTCATTAGAAGGATGAACTAAGGTATCTACCAGGATTATTTTTGTAATCTGGTCTGTTAATAAACAATTGAAACAAATTGAAATGTAAAAAAAAGAAAAAAGAAATGACTAAGTGCCTGGCCTTGGACGCTCCATCTAGGGGTGACTCTACTTGACGGTCTCATTTACTAGTCTGTTCCCAGAGCCTAACACAGCCCCTGACTCAAACGATTCAGCCATTGTTGAACGAATGCATGAATCTCAGTTTAGGATGAACCATTCAGTGGATCATCTTGTTTAAACATGATATTAAAAAGTGTGTATTTGTGCAGCAGTCAAGACTGAGGGGAAACCTGCAGAGATCAAGAAGATGGCTACAAAGTCTGCACCAGGTAAGACCCATCCCCCACGTTGTGGAATCCAAATTTAAACCCCATGTCTTCCTTGGCTTTAAGGCTCCCTTTTGCTTTCTCCCCTGAGCACTTGTTATCTCTTGTTCCTCCCTGAGCAGCTGACTTGAGTCGCCCAAAGAGCAGCACCTCCAGTTCTGTGAAGAAGAGCACCGCTGTCCCTGGGACAGCACCCCCAGCAGGGGCTCCCAGTCGAGCCAAGCCCACAGCCACGCCTCCCCGGCCCTCGGGGACTCCTCCCGCGGACAAGAAGCCCACAGCAGCCAAGCCCAGCTCCTCTGCCCCGAGGCTGGGCCGCGTGGCTGCCAATGCTTCTGCCCCTGATCTGAAGAATGTCCGCTCCAAGGTCGGCTCCACCGAAAACATCAAGCACCAGCCTGGAGGAGGCCGGGTGAGTCCAGGGAGCTTGGGGTCCCCAGCATGCTGGCCCCTGCTTCATCCTCTGCCACATCTAAGCACTGTTCCCAGGCGTGTCCTTGCATCAGCCCAAGGGGCCCACCATGCAGGGGACAGTCAGGACAATGGGTTCAGTGTCAGGGAGTTTCAGCCTGGGCTCCACCTCCCAGCAGCAGGATGCAAGTGGGCTTAGCTCTGGCTTTCTCTTCTCCTCGCCTAGTCTGCATATTGGGGTTTGGGCTTACATTTTTGTTTGGAGGCAAAGGGTTCTGCTTTATTTACAAAACAGAGGATGCCTCTGAGCCTTGCATAGGTGAGAGACATTGGGCAGGAACCTGGTCCACTCTGTTCCTTCTCCTTGCTCAGGCTAGGCAGAAGATGGACTGCCTCTTTGTTCCCTGAGCAGTGTCTTGGCTGAAGAGTCTGTCTGGATGAGGACTAGTGTCCTCTTGTGGCCAGGGTGACTTTCTTCTATCCCTGGCTTTCCTAAACAAAAGGACTGCGGTAGAGTGTCACGGTGGAGAACCAAGGTCTTCACTTGAAGGACTTTCTGAGTGCATCCACCCCAGAATTATTTAACTATTAGCAACATGGGGCTTCTGTGTGTGCAAAGGTGGTGGCAAGAGTCCAGGTTCAGTTTCTGGAGCAGTAACCTCCTCATCTCCTGCATCATTCTCTAGCGCTTAAACTGCTGCCACCACCTCCCCCCACTCAGAGTAGGACATTTAAATTGCTTCAATCCAGAGCTGCTGAAAAAATTGAAGGGGGTCCAAAATGAGACAGAATCCTGGTACTGTTGGAAGACGTTTATGGAAAACTGGGATGAGGGCCTAAGGGTTGCTTTTGGCAAGAGAGTGTAGCTCTGGTGTTGGGTAGCCCAGCCAGGTGTTACGCTGTGTGTTGATGGCCTTTCCCCACTTCTGTGCTCTTATGTGTACATGGTGCAAAACTTGCTACAGGTCTTGGTGGGGAGTTGAATAACTCAGTCTGGTGACGAAAGTATTTTCTGTTCCAACATACCTGAGGGTGTGACACTTCCCGTCATCAATGCTGGCTTCCTGTGACCATGGCAGCTTGCTTGGAGCGTATGAGAACATGGAGGGTGGACTGTGATTTGAAAACCCCGGTGCACACTCACATTATCCCTTCTTCCTGCCTCTTCTCCACGAATGCTGTCTCGATCTCTTCCTTGTATCTCAAGACTGGTTTGCTACCCCTCTCCCTCCAGCTTGGTCTGCCCTGGCACATGGTTGTTTTCTTTCTAGGAGCAAGGGTGACCTGCTTCTGCATGGTGGCCTGGCCTGGATTCGAGTCCCCTTCAGTCTTCTTCCCTTCATGGCATTTGGGCTGTTATCCTCTTGGTTTGAAATTTGCCCTCCCTTTATCTCCATCCAGGCCAAAGTAGAGAAAAAAACAGAGGCAGCTGCTCCAGCTCGAAAGCCTGAACCTAACGCAGTCACTAAAGCAGCCGGCCCAATTGGCAATGCACAGAAACCGCCTACGGGGAAAGTGAGTTTTATTTAGACTTTTACCTCTTGAAGGTAAAAGACGATCAACTGTTTCTTCCAGCCTGAGTCACTTTCCCTTCTTTTGCACCTTTTCCTATCCCTAACTAGTTTCTACTCCTCCCCATGTTCCCTCCTCTGTGTTTGATGACTCAGGCATCAGAAAATTTTCTCTAATAACCTTGAAAGTTAACAGAGCTGGGCGCCTGTTAGCCCTTTAGCGGATATTTATTCAGGCGGATAAAATGGATGCAAAGACTTTCAGTCACGTCCTTCACACTGACCTTGATCTGAAACCTACCTGTTATGCCCACAGCATCCACCTTCTTCCTCAGTAAGACATGGTACTGGTAACCTTTCAGCACCAGGAACCCCAGAGCCCTGTGCTTCAATTTCAACAGGCCCCTCTCCACACCGGTGGGTGAAAAAATTGCTTCATTTGTCCTGGTTCCCCAAGGACCTCTGAACTGAAAGTTAGGATGCTCATTCCCATTTCCCAGTAGAAAACACGCTTGGCATAGGGATTGCAGCATTATGTGGACAGCAGAGGTGAGTGGAGGTGCTAGATTCTTTCCTCTTGCCTCCATACCCTGGAGCCAGGACCCTCCTCTTGCCCTGGGAACCTTCTGCCCTTCTCTGTGGCAGATTGGTGGTCGGGGGCTGGCAGAGAAGCCTGAGCTCCAGCCCTGAGGGACCAGGATGGGAGGGTTCCGGCCAAGGACTCTGTGGTTGGCAGACGGGGAAGGCTGCACCATGGCTCCCGGGGCCTTCCAGAAGTCCTGTACAGGCCTCTGGTTCAGACCTGGTTCATTAGGAAAGTGGTTTTGTCACTGATGTTGTTAAGAAGGCAAGAAACAGTTGGAGTTTCTCAGGGTAGATTTCTCTCCTTTGTCTCGGAGAACTCTTCAGTTTGGGGGCTGCATCACTTGGGATGGGCTCTAAGGAAGGAAAAGAAGGAAGTTGGCAACTGTTCCTTCTTGAGAAGCCTCAAAAAGAATTCTTTGTCCCAGACCTTGGAGCCTGGGCCTTCATGTTCCTCTGTTCAAGTGGAGCTATTCGTGTACAGCACAGTGGGCGGGTGCCCTCTGCTTGTGCCTCACTGCAGCCCTGCCCAGAACCTGGTCTCTTTGCACGTGAAACTCACAGGACACAGAAGGTTGGGTATCTGGAGGACTGTGGAAGAGATTTTACCCTGGCGTCAAAAATGACCAGAGCTTCACCGCATTTGCACCATCTTTTCTTCAGCCCTGAGAGAAACGGGCTCCTCGTGGTAGTGTAGCAGTGGCTGTGGTGGCGCCCCCTGGTGCCCAGGGCCCTGCATCGCAGGTCCAGCAGCCTCTGCTGTCTTTGGTCTCAGCATCAGATCTGAGTTGTGAGCCAGCTGTCCCAGGCTTCCCCGTGCAGCCTTTGCTTTCCCAGACCAGGTCTTTCTGCAGCGATTCCAGGCCCTAGATTTCAGGGAAGTGCCGCCTTGGGTGAGGATGGGTCCAGATGAGCAGGACTCTTGCAGAGAGGAGCCTCGGGGAGAGAACAGATGTGGGTGGGCTGTGGTGGATGGGGATCGAGGCCACTGCAGTCTGGACCCTGTGAACAGCAGCTGGCCCCAGGAGCGGTGAGGATGTCCATGTAGCATCTGGTGACTTCTCCTGTCCTTATGTTGTTCGTTCATGTTTTCACTCTTTCCTGCTCCTTCCTGTCCCTTGCCCTGTGCTTTTCCACAGCTGTTCTGCTGGAGGTAGGCTTTTAACAGCACCATCTGCCACTCGTCATGGTCACGTGTGTACTCACTGCCTGCCCCGTGTCAGTTCTAACCAGCCCTCTCCCTTTGTGTTGTTGTTTTTTTTTTTTTTTTTCTGTTCTCTAACACTCCAGGTCCAGATAGTCTCCAAAAAAGTGAGCTACAGCCATATTCAGTCCAAGTGTGGTTCCAAGGACAATATTAAGCATGTCCCTGGAGGTGGTAATGTAAGTATGCGCTCGGGGCCACTGGTGTCTGAGGCCAAACCCCCCATGGGGCGCACTGGGGAGAGGGCCACCCCCCCCGCCACTGTCGGGTGAATGGATTCGGGGGAGACTCTGATGCTCACATGAGTTCAGACTGGGTGTCCCTAGTGAGCCCCAGGGCAGCTGGGTGACATCCACTTGGCATCTTTTCGCCCCTGTGGGTGGGAGGTCTTGCTGTCAGAGACCTGGTCTGAGGGATGCGGTCAGCAGCTGGCCCATCATCTGTCTCAGGTCCGCCCCAGGGATGCAGTGGTTCTGACCTGGAGACAGATGTCAGGATTCCTCCAGAGCCCGTCCTTGAGTCCCAGCTGCTCTAGAGCAGGGAGTTGGTGACCAGGGCCGCCCCATCTCCTGGGTCTTCCCTTCATTTTCATGACTCTGCTCTCTTTTTCCCTCTTGCTCTTTCTTCTCCTGTCTCTCTGCCTCCTTCTCCCTCCTTTCTGCTCTCCTTCCCTTACTATTGCCCTTTTCGACCCCTTTCTCCTCCAGTTTCCTTTTATTTTTTCTCCTTCCCTGTCCCATTCAGACATCCTGTCCATCATGCTGCTACTCTGTGCCACCCTTAAGATCTTTGTTGGGGCACACATATCTAGAGCTCAGAGGGCAGTCCTGGGAGAGACTGTGCTGACCACCATTGTCATCTGGCATGTGGAGAACGCCCTATACGTTTTCCGTGTCCCTGTGACAGACCGCAGCAGGCGGGACTCTGCCCTCACCGCCTCGCCCCTTCTCTCCCGCTCCCAGAGGAGACAGCTGCCCTGTCCTCGTCTCCCTTGTTCATGCAGTTCCTTCTCCTTGCTGCTCTCACCTGAATTAAGTCCCACTCTGCTTACCCTCTTCATTTGTAGGCTCCATCCTCCGCTGTCTCAGTGGTCATGCCATCCTGCCCATGGGTTACGGAGGCCCCCACACCACAGTTCTGTGAGGGTGCAAGCATGGAGCACCTGTTTTTCCCCCACATGACTCCCCTTGCTTCATGTCCTTCCTGGGCATCTCCCCACACTGAATCTTCCTGGCGTGGCTTGGCACTCAGGTGGACGGTGCTGGGTTAACTTGGAATTTGGCCAGACACTGGCCATCCTGATGTGGGAAGATTGAGATAGGTAAAGCATAAAGGCAGCACCTGGTTAAGGTGATAAAGATCCAGCCTGTGAGGGGCCCAGTAGGCACTGGCTCTAGCTTTTCCTCTCAGGTTTTTGGACTAGATGCAAAAACAGAATGTGAACAGTGCGGGGATTGGGTTGTGTGTGTGTGTATGTGTGAGTGAAATAGAAATGTGTTTGTATATGTTGTGTGTGGTATATGTCAGAGCTCTGAAAATAGTCCTCGTTTGTCTCTCACCTACTATGGTCTTCCCACACTGCCTGCACATGACTTCAAACAGGATTTTTTTTTGGCCATGGAATGTACTTTTTTCAACTATTTCATTTTAGGACGCTTCCTTAAACAGCAGAGCTTTAGGAAACTGCCTGTGGCGATGTGTCCAGGTGGGAAGATGAGAGTAAACAGCCTAGACTATGTTACTGTTGTGCCTTCCATCAGCCCCTCCGTAAAGCCACCATGATCATACCTGCATGGTAGAAGGGTGGCCACCAGCTATATGCATCTAACCCTGACCTGCCAAAGCCCTCTTTCTGCCCAGAGAGAAATTCTGGGGTTACCGCACAGATGAGTGGCTTGGAGCAAGATTCTGGTTGGCTCCACACATGCCCCCACTCACGTGCCCCTTTTGAGAACCAAAAGGCCATCGGGCGAGAACATCACAGCTATTTCTGTGGATGATCAGAGTTTAAATTTTGCAGTAGTTTAGTTCCATTTCACCCTTGTGAGGAGGGGTGTGTATGTCAGTGGTTTCTGAGACTGGTTGGCAGGGTCAGTTCACTAGCAGTATTGACACTTGTGCTGCCCCAGGGGCAGATTGTGTGAGCGGGCGACAGGAGGAAGTGCGCCGATGCCAGGTGGTCGTGGAAAGGCTTGTGTGGGCCACTGGGCATCCCTGGGTGGGGCCTTAGGGCCAGCATGAGAAACAGCAGCACGTGGCTCCTCTATGTACAAGCCTCATCTCGGTGGCTTTTAAGTTAGTGAGAAGCAATTAAGCTTTTTAAAACTTTTAATTATAGCCATTTTCAAACATACACAAAATTAGAAAAAAAGAAAAATGATTAAGTGAATTGGATGTCCTTTTTTACCCAGCTTTTATTATTTTTGTGGCCAGTCTTATCTATATATGCTCACCTCCATTATTCTGAAGCCGGTTCTAGTTATATCTTTTACCTGCAAATATCCCAATATATAACTGTAACAGATAAGAACTCTGATATACATATGTATAATATAAAACTGCATAACATGTTAAACAAGTTTCTTTATCAGGATCCAAGTAAGGTCCATAAGTTGTGGTTGATTGATTTGCCCCCTTGTAATCTTAGGTGTCACCTGCTGTACAAGTTCTTGTTCATTTTTCTTTTTTCATGGTAGCACTTTTCTTGAGTAAAACTGAATGGTTTGTCCTAGAATTTGGGTTCTACTGAGGATATCCCCATGGTTTCATTTAACATATTCATTAGTCCCACATTTTTCTTCAGATTAATTCAGGCTTGGTTCTTTTTTTTACCCCCACATTTTTGCAGGACATTCATAGGCAGTGGTGGTGTTTCTATTAGGACATACATAATGTCTCACTCTTCTCATCTCTTCCTGATGCTGGTGGCTGTTCTTGCCCAAAACCCTGAGTTCAGCAAAGGTGCACTGTGGTGAAACTGGAATTCTCCCATCCCTTCTTCATTTATTGGCTAGACTGCATCTATAAAGGGAAACTTCCCCTCATCAGCTGTTCTTTCACTGACGACTAGGCTTCTCATTTGGAACACGGTCAAGAGTTGTGTGGGCTCCACATCCTGGCAAGAGCCTGGCCATGGCGAGTGACCTCTGTTGACCCCTCACAGGTCATCTCGGGTATGGTGCAAGATGAGCCTGCCACAGTTGCTGCGGACACGTGGTGGCCTTCTCTAGCACCTGCCAGACCTGGGACTGGGAAAAGTGCACTTCCCCACACTCCTGTTGAGGCATAATTGTAGCACTGTTGGAAAGACAGAGCCGAAGCTGAGGCTGCCATTTTGATGGTAGTAGGTACTCTGTAAATGACTGAGCACATGAAACAATTAGTGTAGAGCCGATGTCACTGCAGTAGACAGTATGAAGGGGAGATGGAGCAAGGGGAGACACAGGGAAGTCTTTGGAAAAGGTAGCCTCTGAGCTGGACTTTGGAGACCATAAAGAGAGCTTGGGTTTGAACCTGACAGTACACCCTCTCTCTGAGAATTGTTTTTGTGTGTATGTTTTTCTCCTCAGGTTCAGATTCAGAACAAGAAGGTAGACATCTCTAAGGTCTCCTCCAAGTGTGGGTCCAAGGCTAACATCAAGCACAAGCCTGGTGAGTGGTGCCTCCCTCATCCCAGGCCTCTGTCCTTTTTATTAAGACTCCTAGAGCCACCCACGCCCAGGGCATAGCAGTAGAAACAACATAGGCCTCAGCCCCTGTCAGAGAGGGGCTTTCTGGGTGCTAACCTCTTCATTGGAGGAGGAAGTTTGTAAAGGCTGCCACTTGCACGGGCAGAGTCTTGAAGCTCTCCTGCGTGCACAGCACTGTTGACCTAGGCCTATGGTAGAGGTGCTCTTCCAGCTGACACCCTCCTCGGCCTCCCTGACGCATGTTCAGGAGCTGGTGCTGAAGGAGCTGTAGAAAATTCTGGCTGGGCCTTGCCAGTCAGATGCAGGGGCAGAGAATATTTCTGAGCAGTGAAGCATCAACCACCGGCTCCTGCAGGGACAGGGAGCTATTCAGCAATGCTGCCTCGGCTCACAGACTTGGATCTTGCTGCCACAGCAGTCCAGACTTTCCTTCCAGCAGCACAGGCCTGGCGCCCCTGCAGAAATCTCTGGCAGCTGGCATGTTGTCTGGGCAGGGCCTGTGTTCTGCCTGTACCCTAAGAGTCTTGTGTGTCCTGGTCCAGAGCCTGCAGGGCCGTATCTGCAGTAGCAGGCACACTGGCTGACAGCTTACCTTCATTTTTCCATTCTATCTGGAAAATCCACTGAACTTCTGAGATAACTCTTCCCTAGTGACACTAAGTGACTTGAGGTCCAGGTTTTTCAATGGGCCAGAAGTCCAGTGGGTAGGATACCTGGAGAATTGGGTGGGAAGCTAGGTGACATGAGCAGAGAGGAGATGGGAGAGTAAGAAGCCTCAGGGAAAAGCCCAGCTGAGGGTCTGGCTGGCTGTGAGAGCTCTCTGGCCCTTGCTACCATGGCCGCACTCCGGCTGAGCTGCAAATTTTCTGCGAATGTTGCCCGTGTACAGACTGCCTTCCCTCCGCTTCCACCTCTCACCTTCCCTTCTTTTCGGGACAGATTTGGTTAAACTGTTCACCAAGACCATACGCCCATCCTGTCTTGCTGGTCACTTGTCTCCTCCAGTATCTGTGCTGGCAGCTAGAAAATCGGGATTCCAGGACCCTGACCCTGACCAGCAGGGTGTCCATGAGGCTGAAAGCAGGATGGACTCCTGTACCGCTGTCAGTTAGAGGGAGGTATCACTCCTCCAAGTGACCCCGAGGCAGGCGTGCATCTTGGCTCCTTTTGAGGCTCTCCTGGGGCTGCAGGCAGTGCATGGTGGTGGTAGGGTAGCTTTCCTTCTCTCTGGCTGCGTGGCGAAATTGGCTCAGCCTGACCTGGAAAAAAGGAGCCCTGTTATGACAGAGGTGTTCACTATGCCTCCACCTGTGTCCTCAGGACCACCAGGAGCAGATCCCGTTTTTCCTGTTTCTCTCCTGGGCACAGCCCAGTCTTTGGCCAGCCTCCTGGCTCTGCTTGTAGGGGTATTTTTCTGCCACCCGTAATGACCCATTTCTTTTTGGTTCCAGGTGGAGGAGATGTCAAGATCGAAAGTCAGAAGCTGAACTTCAAAGAAAAGGCTCAGGCAAAGGTGGGATCCCTCGATAACGTGGGCCACCTGCCTGCAGGAGGTGCCGTGAAGGTAGTGTTTGGGTCCTGACGGGGCTGCAGGTGGGGGGTGGGCTTGTGGAGCTGGAGTCTGGTCCCAGCAGATGGGTGCCTGTCACCGCCCCTCAGTCACTTCAGGAGTCATGTTTCACCCACTTCATTACTGTTCCCATCGTCAGTCATCCATCCTGAGTGAAGCAGGAGAGGTGAAGAGGCCCCAGCCCAGTCAGCTCTCACCTGTCCAGCTGGAGACAGAACCTTCTCCTGAGAGCCATGGGCTGCCTTTCTGAGCCCATCTCAGCTGTTTTCAGAGAAACGGCTGATATGCAGGCCCCGGTGAGGCCAGGGGTCAGTGGAGTGCCGTTCTCGCAGCACCTCGTGAGGGCAGTGCGGTGCTCTGTGTCAGGCTTCCTTCCGGGCCTGCGAACGGGAAGGCGCGTTTTCAGCTGCCCGTGGCCGCAGGCCCGACAGCCACCTCCTCAGGCCTGCACTGCCAGGCCCTGGAGAGTGCCGGGCTTCCTGTGCTGGCTGGGCCTCTCCTGCCTTCCCTCCCTCTCTTCCCTCCCCCTCCTTCCACAGTACTGTGAGACCCTTTGTCTGCCAGAGATTCTGTCCATGTTCCATGTCATCAGGTAGGGGGCACATGGGGGCAACGTCTTGAAGGCTTCCAAGCCTGAGGGTGGCTGCAGGTGCCTCGGGAGATGGGTGAGGAAGCGGGGATGTGAGCGGCGCTGTGGGCCTTCCTCCTGTGTCTGACCACCCCTCGCAAAGCTCCATCCCAGCTTTGTCCCAGTCGCCCTCTATGCTTCAGTTCAAGCCCCCATTGGCTCCCTTGACCACTAGGGGCCCTGACTCTATCACAGACTCTCAGGTCATGCTCCATACCTCGTGAGGGGCCATTCTCTGCTCACCCTCCCTGGGATGCTAACTTCAGTGTGGTCCCAGCCACTTGACAAGCACGTACAGACCAGGGCTCACTCTAGGCCTTTCTGACCGCCAGTCTTTTCTTTATTCACAGCATCTCCCTTTTTTTTTTCTTTTAACCACTTCCGGAACTATTTTTCTAGCACAGAGGCCATATCTTTCACTGTTGTAAGTAAGGACCACCCTGGAGACTTCCGTTGTCACATCTGGGCATTTGTGGCACAGGTGTACCAGCTTACCCAGTGCCCTGGGCCCCCACTGCACCCGCAAAGCCCTCCCCTTATGCTCTTGACTCACGTTGGGTGTCCACGGTCCCCACAGTCCTTACTGTACCCTAAAGTTCTCCCGGCCCTTGTGGTCTTCGCTCACCATACCTCTTGAACACCTTCCCGGCTCCTCTTTGTCCCAGGCCCTGAAAGGGTGCCCAGCACAGAACAGGCCTGTGTCAAGGATGAGTAAACAGTGATTAGCCAGGCAGGGAGTCTGTGGGGTCCCTCAGGTCCAAGGTGGCAGCTTGCACCCCACAGAAATGCGTCCAGCTCCCAGAGTTCCCTAGCCAAGTCCTGACCTACAACTTGAGATCATTCCTTGGGTTTTTTTTTTTTCTTCCCTTGGGTTTTTTTGCTAACAACCTGCTGTCATAGTTTTGATCTGGCATCAGCCATGTTAAGTAGCCGGGCTGTCATGTCAGGCTTCGTGAGGTGCATCCCTAGCCAGGCTGCACCCCCTTCCTGCCCCAGAGCCCAGGCCTGGGTTCTTGCCCAGCACTGGGCCATTCAAACCAGGATCTGGCCTGGCAGGTTGGGGTGGGGAGCACCTGGGCTTGACTCCCAGATGTGACCTACGTTAGGCCGTGGAGGCAGTGCGGGTGGGGGCAGAGTGTGAAACCCACCGCCATCACCATCCCACTCCCTCCCCGACTGACCCTGCACTGTCTCCCCACTGTTTCATTTGTAGACTGAGGGCGGTGGCAGCGAGGCCCCTCCGTGTCCGGGCCCCCCTGCTGGGGAGGAGCTGGCCATCCCTGAGGCAGCGCCTGAAGCTGGCGCCCCCACTTCAGCCAGTGGCCTCAGTGGCCACACCACCCTGGCAGGGGGTGGTGACCAAAGGGAGGCCCAGACCTTGGACAGCCAGATCCAGGAGACAAGTAAGTGGCTGGGCTTGGCCTGAGGGCCAGCCAGGGGCCCTGCCACTGGCTGCAAATTGAAACTCCTTTGTTTTCTGAACTGGAGAGTGGCCTGAATTTTAACGAAGCAACCTTTTATTTTCCAGGCATCTAATGATGACATTCTGGTCTCGTCTTCCGTCCCCGTGTCCCCCCTCTTGTCTCCCCTGTCACCCTCTCCCTTCCTTCCTCCCGTGTCACTGCAGATTGAGACCTACAGGCTGACGTTCCGAGCAAACGCCAGGGCCCGCACCGATCACGGGGCTGACATTGTCTCCCGCCCGCCCTCACTTCCCTGGCGGCCCCAGCTCAGGCAGCCGGGCCCCTAGCTCCCCGCCCCAGGCCACCCCCCAGTCTGTGGCTCGGGCCCTGGGCAGCCCTCTAGGCACCCCCTTTCCTCCCTCCTTCCCTCCCTCCCTCGCTTGCCCAGGGCAGCAGCAGTTCCCCCCAAGGCCCACGTTCCTCCAGCTCCCTGCTTGGCTCGCATCCTCACCACTTCGCTCACCACTTCGCGCCACTGCTCCACGAAGAGGGTTGGGTGGAAAATGGGGTGGGGAAGAATAATTTTAGGATCTTCTGAGACCTGGGGTGTAGGGGCGAGCTGGATCCCAGCATCCTCTTCATTTGTTTGGGTTTTTTGGACCAAACCCAAGAGAAACTGACATACCCTCCCTCCTCGCTGGTCCATCTGGAGGGAAGAGTGGAAGCGGACATCCACATGATGGCTGCCGTTAACTGCACCCCCTGGAGCCTGCTAAGCACTGCCTCTTCCTTTGACCCTACGATGGTGCCCACCATGCAAGGTGGTACCAGGCGCCACTTGCTGCCCTCCCCGAGTTAGTCAGAGGCAGCGTTGCCTGTCCCCGCTCCTCCCCATACCTGCCTAGCTGCTGTTTATCTTTTCTTTTTTAATAACCTAAAAACCAGTGGAGTAGTTTTGCAGGTTGAAGCCATGTCTAAATGAAAGTCCTCAGTAGGTGTTAAAGGAAACAGGGAGGGGAGATCCTGAAGCCTCCAGCCGGGAGGTCAGGCGTCGGGAGCTGCCCTGGCTTGGGCAGCTCGGGGCCCCAGCCCCAGAGATGGTGTGGGCAGGGCAGGCGTGGTGTGGGGGCTGTGGGCTGGAGAGCAGGCAGGGACCGCTAGGGGCTGATCAGTGTGGACTGGTGGTTCTGGCATTTCGTGTGTATGCTGCTTTTCTTTTCTAACCAAGAGGCTGGTTTGGGCATCTGTTTGTCTCATTCCCTGGGATCTGGTGGAAGACATAAGGTTGGGACTGGAGAGGGCCATGGAGGTCAAATTCCTCCAAGCCTGCAGCCTGGGACACTGCCAGGGAGCCCGATGTGTCCTGCACTCGTGGATAGTGGTGTATATCAAGGCTGGAGATTTAGAAATAAGGACATGTGATGGGCCATCCAGGCTCCCCTGTAGCCTGACTGGAGAGGGGAGAGAGGAGAGGTGAGGCGAGCCCAGCCTGAGGAGGCGTGTCCCAATTAGGCCTGGTCTTGGGATGGCTGCAATGATTAGCCCTGGGGATTACATTGACATGAAGATTCTTATTGCACTTGTATTTTTTGTATTAAAGTTTGCATGGTTTCTAATAAAGGATTAAAACGTAACAGTTTGTAGTGAAATGGCCTGGGAGTCTCCAAGCCTTCTCCTCTGAAGTGTTTTCTGCAGTGCAGACTTGGTCCCTCACCCTCCCACTTCTTCTTCAGGCGTCCCCTGGCGCTGAGGTGGGGGGGCTCCCGAACTAAGCTTCATTCAGATTTGATGTCAGTGTAGTGGGAGGGTATCTGGGCTGGGAAGGTTCTCCCTGTTTCTGAGGTTATTATTAGCATTTTCTCCAGGGAGGTTCGACACTACATCCCCAACTCCCCAAGCACTACCAGGGGTAGAAATTGTAGGGATCTTGTGGAAAAAGCACTTCTGGAGCCAGAGGCCATCCAGGGTGCTTCAACAGCGCCAGGGACATCAGGGTGTCCGTGTTTTGTCTGCAGAAAGGGGTGAGGGAGCTGGGAGGACACAGCGGGAGGTGGGGTGACAGTGCTGGGCCTCAAGGTACCTCCACCCATGTCGATGCTAAAGTGGACGACAAGCTCTGGGTCTTCTTACTCCTTTGGCCAAAAGCAGGGGTGGGAGAGGTGACCCCAGTGGAGGGCCCTCGAGGGGGCGCTGGAGTGGTCAGTATTCTGAAGGGTGGTCTGGTCACACTTGCCGTGACAGATGCCAGCAGCTGGAGCAGCTGAGAAGGCTGCCCCGACAGGTGGGCCCAGGGGCCCTGCGTGCTCTGCCCTGCAGCCATCGGGGCAGGGACGTTTCTGTGCTTCCCCATTTGCTTATGGCTCAGCCGTTCCCCATGTCAATCTGTGATTCTGTTGTAACGATTTCCAGAGTAAATAAATCTCTTCTGTCCCAAACACACAGGCCCTGTCTTTTGTACATCCTGGTCTCTACCCCTCCAGCGTGTGTGATCCACCCACTAGGGACTCGTGTGCGCATGTGTTCTTCACCTCAGCACCTCATCTGTGAACCTGGGGCTGTGACCGGGGGTTAAGGTCTGAGAGGGCTTGGTTGCTTACGGAAATTTCCCCTCCCCCACCCGCCTGAGCTGGGAGGAGGCAGCCAGACTGAATGAGGATGCACGTGGTGGGCCCTGCCACACCTGTAAGGAGAGTGCAGAGACGGCTGGTCCACGCTCCTGAGGTGTGGGTTTTAAGCCCCTTCTTCTAAGACTCTGGGCCCCTTCCTTCTGAGCCTTCATTCTTCTCTTGGTTTGGGGAGTGTGGTCCCCATCCCAGGGTGCTGAGGTCCTCCCTGAGAGAGGAGCCCCGCGGATAGCGATGCTCACAAGGGATAAATAGAACTTTATTTTAAATAAACATTTTCATTCTGTACATGGCCCCAGCAGAGACGGGGCTTAGTCGTCAGCCGTCTTGCGCACATCAAAGCTGCCACAGGGCCCACGCAGCAACTCCGCCAGCAGGGCGAGCAGCTGCCCGTGCTCCTCCTGCACGCAGGGCGGCAGTGCCGCCAGCTCGCTGCGCAGGCTCCGCTCCACCATGCGGCCCAGGGCCCGGCGCAGCTCCCGCAGCAGCCGCACGGTGCGCGAGTCACCCTCCAGCCGCAGCAGGTCACTGTCACTCAGGGAAATGGTGGCCCGGCGCCCATCATCTGGGGGAAGGGAAAGGTGTGAGGAGCCCAGGTGAGGCCAGGCCCAAGGAGGCAGGGCAGCCAGAGGTGCGGAGAGGGGTGCAGGTACCCACCACGGATGTGGACGTCCCCGTCGGTCAGCAGCAGCACAGCTAGTGGGTGCACCTGGGAGGAGTCCCGGACGAAGACGCTACCGTTGGACTTGACAGCCATGAAATATGTCAGCCATCGGCTCCGTAGCCGGGTGGCCTCCCTGGGGAACAAACGGCTGGGTGAGGCCCCCTCCTGAGGCACCCCCGCTGCCCGGCTTCACCTGACGGGGATCCCCACCTGTTAATGGTCGACTTGTGCAGCAAGATGTTGCCAGATTTGGTCCTGTATGTGACACTATTGGGCTTGAACTTGCCCTGCCGGGTCACCTTGCCCTGCCTCACCTGCAGGGATGAAGGGAAAAGGTGGGTGGGTTGAGCAAGGAGCCAAGATGGGAAGAGAGACTGAGGCCTGGTGCCCCCGCCCCGAGGCAGCACCTGGATGAGGTTGGGGTAGAGACCCGCCATCAGCACCCCCTTCACCAGCTCCTCCTCCTCACTGTACTCGTTGCACTGGGCAGAGGCCAGGGTGCAGTCTGAGGGCTTCCCAACCAAGAAAGCCTCATAAATGTTCTCTGAGAACTGCTTGATGAGTCCTGGGGAGGCAAAATCGGGGTGAACCTAGGGCTCTGCTCACCGCACTGGCCCAGTGCAAGTGGGAGGGGCAGAGGACTCAGGGCAGTGTGGGGCCCGCTGACCGTGGATGAAGCGCAGGCTGGGTGCGTAGAGCAAGTTTTCCTCCAAGTAGTTCTCACGGGAGCTGCGATCCTGCCAGCGCAGCACCTCCTCCCAGCCAGACACAGCCCGCACGAAGGCCAGATGGTCACTACCACTGTCGTGGCTCAACAGTGCCTTCACCTGGTAGGGGGAGGGGTGCCGGGGTCACAGGGCAGGGACCAGAGGGGAGGCCACCTCGGAACAGAAGGCAGTGGAGGGCCAGAAAGGAGAGAGGAAGGCCGCGCGCAGGCACCGGGTCTGACCTTGTCCACCTCCGCCCGGTTCTGCAGGCTGCTGCTGAAGGGGTCTCGGGTGAGGCAGGAGACGACCACTAACAGCGGGTGCAGGCAACGGAAGATGGCAGCCAGCACGATGGCCTTGGCCAGCCGCGGGTCAGTGGAGATGTGGGCCAGGCGCTGCCCCAGGGTGGTCAGGTACTCCCGCTGGTCCAGAACCCCTGCAAGCTCAGCGGTCAGTCCCGCTCTTGAGAGCCACTCGGCAGCCTGGCCCAGCCGTGCCCCACTCACCGATCTCCTGGAGCAGGATCACGGCCTCGTCCACCGCCTTGATATTTGGACTGTCTACGGCCTTGGAGAGGAACTCCACCGCCTACAGCGTGAACGAGGCAGAGCCTCCGTCAGCCTGCACCCCACCTGCGCGCTCCCAGGCCCCCCGCCCACCCCTGCCGCACCGTCTTCTCTGGCATGTGGATCTTGGCCTGCAGCACCAGGTTCTCCAGGGGTGTACGCAGGATCTCTGGCACTTGGAAAGGGGCCATCTTCTCCAGCCGGCTCCGCGGGAAGAGGTGGTAGGCAAAGCCAGACTGGCAGCGGCCCGCCCGACCCCGGCGCTGGATCACATTGGCTCGTGACACCCACACGGTCTCCAGGCAGGAAACCTAGGGAAGGGGGCCTGTGAGCAGCCAGCCACACACACACCAGAGGCCTTCCTCCACGCTCCCCCAGGCCTGGCCTTCATCCAACTCGACCCCTCAATGGCCCTCCCGCAAGAGGGACACAGACCCCACGAGTGCGGCCTTTTCAGACACA